GAAAGTAGAACTTGAGACAAACCGAAAGTAAAGAGTAAGAAGTTTTTGTACATCTATTTAATTATTTAATAAGCTTTATGTTACCTTATTCTCTTCCTTAATTAACTTTATCTTATATAAAGGAATTTAGAGGTGAGGGAAGAATAGCAAAATTACAGTTTAACAAAAATAATGCAAATATTTTGAATGTGCCAGGTTATTCCATTTATTTTAATTTTTTGAAATTTAAATTCAAAATCATCAAAAAGTCAAAGAAAAGCTATACAAATTCTGAAAAAGCATTTTTTAAAGATTTATTTGTTTATTTGAAAGTTACAGAGAGAGAGAGAGCAACGAGAGACAGGGAGAGCTCTTCCATCCTCCAGTTCACTCCCCAGATGGCTGCAAATGCCAGGGCAGGACCACATACAAGCTGGGAGCCAGGAGCTTGCTCCACATCTCCAGTTTCAGTGGCAGGAGTATAAGCACTTGGACCATGCTCTGCTGCTTTCCCAGTCCATTAACAGGGAGCTGGATTGGAAGTGGAGCAGCCGAGACACAAATCGGCAGCGCTCATACAGAATGCTGCCGTCACAGCTGGCAGCCCAACCCGCCACACCAAAACACCACCCCACGATTTTTTATTATATTGCTTTTCACCCTAAATTGAAATGAGGACATTTTTATATTATTAAACTTCTAACAAATCAAAATACACTGAATGAAATCCTGAAAGAAAACAAATGATTTGTATGAATATTTCAAATGATTGCAGAAACAATCATTGTGTAAAGTCAACATCAACTTTTCGACTTCAATATGAAAAACTTATTGAATGAGGTTGAGGAAGTCAAAAAGGTGAGTATAGAAGTTTTTTTCTTTCCTTTTCTTTTTTTGGCAATAAAGTTATTCTGTATGGTACTAAACAGTGGATACATGTCATTATATATTGTCCAGACCCTTAGAGAGCATCCAACCAAGGGTGACTTCCTGTGTAAAATGCGGACCCTGGGTAATAATGGTGTATTGATGTAGCTCCATCAACTGGAACACACGTGCTACTCCAATGCGGGATATTGAAAATGTGTGTGGAAAGCAAGTATATGGAAAGTCTCTGAACCCTCCTTTAAATTTTGCTTGAACCTCAAACTGCTATAAAAATAGTCTTTTAAAAAGGGCAACTATTGGGTCCAGTGCTGTGACGAGCAGGTTAAACCATCTCCTGCAATGCCAGCATCCCCACATGGGTGCCAGTTTGAGTCCTGGCTGCTCCACTTCCAATCGAATTCCCTCCTTATGCATCTAGGAAAACAGCAAAAATGGCCCAAATGCTTGGGCCCGGCACCCACATGGGAGTCCTGGAAGAGGCTTCGGCTTTCTGGTTTTGGTCTGGCCCAGCTCCAGCCATTGCGGCCATTTAGTGAGTGAGCCAGCAGATGGAAGATCTCCCCCACCCTGTAACTCTGCCTCTCAAATAGATAAATAAATCTTCTTAAAACGATAAATAATAATTGTATCACATATAAATGGTATTCATTGTAAGCTATCTATATTCAACAAATTATCAATACCTTTTTAAACTCGAAAATACTGTTATGTGGAATGAAATTAATGTAACATTTGATTTACAGAAAAATTCTAGTTGGTAGCCATGAAATTTAAAGTTCTTATTTTTTCCTTAAGACAATCACATAGAAGGAAAAGATAGTGCCACACAGGTCCCTTTATTAATCTACAAGGACATATTTTGGCTCCTATCTATTCTACAAGGGGTCTTCAAAAAGCTAATGGACAGTACATATTATGAAAAAATGTTGCATGAATTTCAAAATTTTTAGCACCAATATAAACTTATCTGTTATTTCCCAAAAACCTTTTGATATGTACTGGTAGATTCCTTTACTTGTTTATATTATTTTCCTTATCAATCTACAATTACCTATATATTCATAATCATTTATAGCTTATAAAGTCTTCAGACTATGAAGGAAGGACTTAACAAAATTTGTGTTGCATTATTTTCAAGGTCAATAGAAAAACCTAGCCCCTTTATCTTTATTTATGTATTTAGCCACTCAAGCACTTAGAATCATCAGAGCCAGCTGTGGGTGAAAAATAGTTTTCTAGTGGGACTTGAAAGAGAACTGTATGTTTGGCAGCTTTAGAATCCTATAGAGAGGTTTTCCAACTTGGAAAAAATGAGTCCTTAAGTCCTTATTCCCTTGAATGCTTTTATGCTTTATGGGGCATTGAAATCCAAGAATAAAACTGAAATTTCAGCAACACCACCTCCATTGAGGAGGTTTTTGTTTTTTGTTTTTTTGCTAAGATTTATATACTTATTTGAGAGGCAGAGAGTTACAGAGAGAGAGAAAGGCAGAGAGAGACAGGGAGAGAGAGAGAGAGAGAGAGAGAGAGAGAGAATCTTCATTCGGTGGTTCAATTCTCAAATGGCCACAATGGCCAGGGCTGGGCCAGACAGAAGTCAAGAGCCAGAAACTTCTGGGTCTCCCACATGAGTGCAGGGGCCCAAGCACTTGGGCCATCTTTCACTGCTTTCCTAGGCACATCAGCAGAGAGCTGGAGCAGAACTGGAACTACCGGTACTCCGACTGGAGGCCATATGGGATACCAGTGTTGCAGATGGTGGCTTTACCCACTATGCCACAGTGCTGGCCCAAGGAGGAGTTCTTAAACTAATTTTAGGACCTTGAAATCTTTAAACACTGGTCATCGGGTTATGTTACACTAAAATAAATTTTAAAAAAGTAAAGGAAAAGAAAAAAAGGCCTATGTAAATTATGGACATAGAAGATTCACAGTATCCCCCAAATAAATTTTTTAAAATATTTATAAATATTTATTTTATTTATTAGAAAGGTAGAGTTACAGAGAGAGAGAGAGACAGAGAGAGGTCTTCCATCTGCTGGCTCACTCCCCAAATGGCTGCAATGATTGGAGTTGAGCCAATTAGAAGCCAAGAGCCAGGAGCTTCTTCTGGGTCTCCCATGTGAGTTCAGGGGCCCCAGGACTTGGGCCATCCTCAGCTGCCTTCCCAGGCGCATCAGTCAAATAGGTGCCCATATGGGATGCTGGCACTGCAGGCCAGGGTTTTAACCCAGTGTACCCCAGTGCCAACCCCCTCCCCCAAATAATTTCTAGTAGGTATTTTTGCTCAATCAGAAGTTCTAAAATGTAATAAATTAGAGAAATAGGGTAAATAAAATTATATGTGACAGATGACATAATGATTCAACCTCCTTTTCCAAGATACTACTCTCAATCATCCTACTCTACCTGTATGAACATTTCATAATTATTTAGAAATTCTTGCATGACCTTGTTATGAGTACCTTTTCAAGAACAATCCCTAATCATGCATTCTGTAATTATATATCTTTACTTAACAACTGGAGAGTCACAATTTTGCACATTTGGGGAAGAAGGCTAATCATGTAGGATTCTGTCTTACTGATTACTTCCAGAGGGAAGCTAGACAGTATAACTAAGCAATGTTAGGTAGACAATAGATAAAGAAAGAATGAGAGTGAAGGTTCAAGTTCAAGATGTGCAGAAGGTGTGAACTTTTCAAAGCTAATTAAATAATGGGCCACACTTACAGATCAATACATGCTTTTTATTTGTGATTTATATGGAATAATACTATTAGTAATCCTTTATTTTCCTTGTAAGAAAATAACAATGGCAGATGAAAGTAAAGTGAAACAAAACCAACAATATAAAGTTAAATACATATACCTATCTGGCCGGCACCATGGCTCAACAGGCTAATCCTCCGCCTTGCGGCGCTGGCACACCAGGTTCTAGTCCCGGTCAGGGCGCCAGATTCTGTCCCTGTTGCCCCTCTTCCAGGCCAGCTCTCTGCTGTGGCCCAGGAGTGCAGTGGAAGATGGCCCAAGTGCTTGGGCCCTGCACCCCATGGGAGACCAGGAGAAGCACCTGGCTCCTGGCTTCAGATCAGCGCGGTGCGCAGGCCACAGCGTGCCAGCTGCGGCGGCCATTGGAGGGTGAACCAACGGCAAAAAGGAAGACCTTTCTGTCTCTCACTGTCCACTCTGCCTGTCAAAAATAAATAAATAAATACATATACCTATCTCTCCTTTGATGGTGATCACCCGTTTTATGTGATTAAAAACCAATTTGATTATGAAGATCCAAATTTCCTTGACGATTTTTAAATTACACAAATTAACTTAAAATTAAGATAGAAATGAAGAGGATGTAGGGATGCAATTTATTTGTCATTTGAAACTGTTATCAGTTTATTGGACTTTCTAAACAGTCTAACCTGAGTCAAGATATATCTGAAATATATTAATTTGAAAAGTTGAAGGGTGGGATGTACACCATTTCGGAGAGGAGGAGGGAGAATCAGCATATGAGGTACACTCCTTGAAGCCTATGTATCTGTATCTGCAAGAACAAGGAATACCAGGTTTTTTAAGCAAAAATGGGAAAATTATGCAATTTACATATTCCCCTTACTTATTTTTGTGGAAGGATTTCAGAGTGGTAATCAATATTTGAGCTGAAGTCTTGTTTCAATTAGAGAAAAAATGAAAAACCTTAATAACAATAAATGTTAGAACATTGTATCATATGAGTATATATACAGGGCTACCTATTGTGTATATAAAAATCCTATAATTTATCTATGAAATTATTTGCTTATCAATAACAATATTTAATTTCAGACTCATGGAAACAACAAACATTAACTAACTCAGTACAAATAGAATTCATTAGCATTCACTTATCTGTAGAGTGTCACCATTTATAAAATATGTCTGAAATGCTATAAAAATATTGGCATTTTTATTTATTAGGAGAATAATAATTCTCACTGTTGGTCATAATGTACAAGTTACTCCAACCAGGGTGGCTTTATACAGTAATGCAAGCACTCAATTTAAGAACAACACATTTGGTTGAGGAAATAATAAAATCACTTGAATAGAATGCTTGGATATTGATACTAAGATTGTTTATTTTAATTGAAGGAAGATGTGAACATGCGGAAAGCTGTTTAGAACATTTTTCAACAGCTGAAATCAAGGGTAAGTATTTATTTTTTTGTCATATGTTTGTCATATTGTTTATCATCTATATGTATGTTAGTGACATTGTACCACTAGAAAGGTAAGGTTAAGGGGGGCTGGCACTGTGGCGCAGCAGGTTAACACCCTGGCCTGAAACGTCGGCATCCCATATGGGCACTGGTTCAAGACCCGCTGCTCCACTTCCGATCCTGCTCTCTGCTATGGCTGGGAAAGCAGTAGAAGATGGCCCAAGTCCTTGGGCCCCTGCACCCACGTGGGAGACCTGGAGAAAACTCCTGGCTCCTGGCTTCGGATCGGCATAGCTCCTGCCATTGAGGCCATCTGGGGAGTGAACCATCAGATGGAAGTCCTCTCTCTCTGCCTCTCCTCTCTGTGTAACTCTGACTTTCAAATAAATAAATAAATCTTTAAAAAAGATTAAGGAATCTAGAAGCCAAATTAAAAATTCTTTTCACTGTATTATATTTTACTTAATTAATTTGATTATATTATTATTATCATTATTATTTGTGGTGAGAGGAGTTAGATTATATACATTGGATGCAATTTTAAAGTGTTTACTTTTATATAAAGTACATGGGGCCTTATAAAAAGAAGGTAGCTTTATAATGTTGAATACAATTCAGGTCGATGTTGTGGTGCAGTGAGCTAAATTGCCGCTCACAATGCCGGTGCACCATATTGGAGTGCCAGTTGAGTCTACTGAAAATTTATAATATCAGTAATACTAACTGGGGATGATGAGTAAATTTAGCTGTGGTTTACTTGTTTGATTATTAAGCACATCCTACCTATATCATGTATTTTATCTTTGTTTTTTCTTTACAAATAGAATTTCAGGGTGTGCCTTTAACATAGGGGTAAATACTGAGTGCTTAGTTTAAAATGAGTTTGGGTCCTGACTCCACTTCCAGTTCTAGATCCCTAGTGATGTGCATCCTTGGGGACAGTAGTGAGGGTTCGGGTGATTGGATTCCTGTCACCCATGTAAGAAAGCTGGATTGAGTTTCTGGCTGCTGGTTTCAGTCTGACCTAGCTTCAGCTCTTGCAAGATATTTGAGGGGTAAATAAGCAAACGGATTCTCTATCTATATATCTATCATATATACCACATCTATCTATACATATCTCATATATATCTATCAAATATATAGTGATATGAATAGTGATACAATAAAAGTAGGAGGGCTAATGTCTCTTTGACAGATGGATTTCATTTCCCTTGGGTATATACCCAGTAACGGGATTGACAGATCACCTAGTAAATGTATTTATTTTAGTTTTTGTGGAACTTCTATAGCATTTTACACAATGTCTGTACTAATTTTCATTCCCACCCAAGGTGTCCAGTGGTCTCATTTTCTCCACGTTCTTACCAACACTTGGTAACTTTTTTAAGTTTGATGATAACCAATTTTTGATGCTATCTCTCTCTCTCTTTTTTTTTTTTTTTTTTTTTTTGACAGGCAGAGTGGAGAGACAGAGAGAAAGGTCTCCTTTTTTCAGTTTGTTCACCCCCCAATGGTCACTGCGGCCGGCGCACCGTGCTGATCTGAAGGCAGGAGCCAGGTGCTTCTCCTGGTCTCCTATGCGGGTGCAGGGCCCAAGGACTTGGGCCATCCTCCACTGCACTTCCTGGCCACAGCAGAGAGCTGGCCTGGAAGAGGGGCAACCGGGACAGAACCCTGCTCTGAACCCGGTGTGCTGGGAGGATTAGCCTATTGAGCTGCGGCGCCGGCCAAGATGGTATCTCTTCAAGTTTTGAATTGCATTTCTCTGCTGATCAGTTATGTAGAAAATCTTCCTGTGTACAGTTGACCATTTGTATATTCCTTCGAGAAATATCTATTTAGATCGACTGTCTATTTTTAATGGGATTACTTATTTTCTGATGAATTCTGGTATAATCTGGGTATTAACCACTTGTCATATGTATAGCATTATTGTCCTGTTCCACATTTTAGAGAGAAAGCCTTCAGATTTACCCTATTCAGTGTAATGTTGGCTGTTTGTGTGCAGCAGATGGCCTTTATTTATTTAGAGGTTTATTCCTTCTATATTTAATTTGGTCAGTTTCTTATCATAGAGGGATGTTGATATTTTAAAAATATTTTTCATTTATTTATTTTTTTATTTATTTGAAAGGCAGAGTTATGGAGAGGCAGAGGCAGAGAGAGAGAGAGAGAGAGAGAGGTCTTCCATCCACTGGTCCACTTCCCAACTGGCTGCAATGGCTGGAGTGTGGCCTGGCTGAAACAAGGAACCAGGTGCAGCCAGGACCCGAAGCAGCCCTCATATGGGATGCTGGTACTGCTGCTGGCGGCTTTACTCTGTATGCTGCAGCACCAGCCTCAAGGGATGTTGAATTTTATCAGACACTTTTTCTGTATCTATTAAGATAATCACATTATTTTCCCATTATTATGTGGATATGATATATCACAGCTATTGATTTGTATATGTTGACCCATCCTTGCATCCATGGGATGAATCACATTTGATCATGGTGAATGATCTTTTTAATGTAATGTTGGATTTAGTTTGTTAGTACTTTGTTGATGCTATTTGCATCTATGATTCATCAAGACCATTGGCCTATAACTTTATTAATAGTGTCCTTGTCTGGATTTTGTATCAAGATATTCTGACCTCATAGAATAAATTTGAAAAAATTCCTTCTTTCTCTACTTTTTTGAAATAATAGAAGAAAGATCGGTCTGAATTCTTCTTTAAGAACGATTAGTATAATGCAGTAGTGAAGCCATCTGGTCCTGGGCTTTTCTGTAATAATTATTATTATTATTATTACTGATTCAATCTCACTGTTGTTTATTTGTTGGCTTATGTATTCTATTCCTCAGTATTTCTTCTTGGTCAGGTTATTGAGTCCAGGTATTTGTCCATTTCTTCTAAGTTATCAGAGTTGTTGCTATATAATTATTCTTAGTGATCTCTAACAATCTTATACATTTCTGTAGTGTCAGTTATAATGTCTCCATTTTCATCCTACTTCTTTGAATGTGAATCCTCAGTCGTTTTTTATTCTCTTGGTTAGTCTAGCTTAGGGTTTATCAATTTTGTTTACCTTTTTAAAGAACCAACTCTTCATTTCATTTCATTTATTTCTTATTTTTTCATCTTCATGTCATTTATTTGTGCTCTAAGTTTTATTATTTATTTCTTACTGCTGATTTTGGGTTTGCTTTTTTAAATTTTTTTTCATTTCCTTGATTTCAGTTTTAAGCTGTTTATTTGACATCTTTATTGACTTTTCTATTCTTGATACACGTATTAGTTCCTGTAAGTTGCTTTTATTGTATCCTATAGGTTTTGGTATGCTGTGTTTTTATTGTTATCATTTGAAAAACTTAAATTTACTCATTAATTTCTTCCTTGACTCATTGATTGCCTGGGAGTAAGCAATTTAATTTCCATGTGTTAATTTAGTTTTCAAAGTTTTTCTTACTTTGCTTTCTAGTTTATTGCACTGTGGCTAGAAAAGATAGTCAATATGATTTCTGTCTTTTAAAATTTCTTGGAACTTGTCATGTGACCGACCATATGACCTAACTTAGAAAGTGTACTCTATGCTGTTGGAAACAATGTGTATTCGGCAGCAGTTGAATGGAATGTTCTGCAAATGGTTGTCAGGTCTGGTTGGTTCACAGTGTGATTTAAATCTGCTGTTTCTGTGTCAAATTTCTGTATAGATAATCTGTTTATTTATGAGGGTGGGGTGTTGCAATCTTTTATTATTATTACATTGGGTTCTATCTCACCTTTAGGAATATTCATATTTGCTTTCTGTATTTGGGTGCTCCAATATTGGGCACATACATATTGATAAGCATTATTTCAACTTGCTGATTGACTTGTTTACTATATAATGAAGTTTCTGGTCTCTTTATGATTTCTGATTTAAAGATCTCTGTTATTTGATACTAGTATGACTTTCCATGCTTTCTTTTCCATTTCATTTGCATGAAATGAGGGCTCAGAAAACCAGAATGTTGGTAGAACTGTGGCCAATATAGGCCATGTTTGTGAGGTTTCAGATGGACATGAGGATTCTGCTGAGAACTGGACTAAAGGCCATTCCTGCTACCTTGCAGCAAGGAACCTGGCTGTATAAAGTTTTGTAAGAAGCTGAACTTAAAATGGTGAACTCAGTTGTTTGGTGGAGCAAATTTCAAGGCAGTCAAGAGTTTAGGAGTTAATAGGTGTTCTTAGTACATTTTATAGTGAAAATCAGGAACAAAGGGGGACAGAAAAGAAAGAGGAAAAATTTCAGCTTTGTCAGAGGAATAATGAAAACAAAGCCATATTTGGGGCTGCAAAATGTCAGAGAAACTGATAAATAAATAAATAAATTTAGATTAAACTGAGTCAGGTATTCGTGAGAACGATAATGGAGAAAGCCTCTGAAGGCATTTCAGAGATCATTGAGACCCTCATCCCGTCACTATCGCACCAGAAACATAGCAATACAGATTTGTTTCAAAGATCTGACAAAGTGGAGTCCTTTTACGGAGCCTTAGGGTTTCCTGCTCACCCAGGTCCAGTTTGGATTCTGGCATTTCGGATTCATTCGTACCTGTTGATGATGGTAGCTCTGAGCATTGCCATTGTGGTGTTGAAATTGCAGGCCTGAGACATGAAAGTGTAGTGGCAGCTTTCACAGGTAGTGTGTCAGGCCATTCTGAAAAGGTTTCAGACATCAGAGTGCAGAGTCAGCCACATAGGCAAATCTTTGTTATGTGAAGATGTGTTCCTTCCAATCGAATTTATTAAAGGTTTTTGTCATGTATAGATTTTGTATTTCATCAAATACTTTCTCAGCTTCTGTTGAATTATTAATATGCTTTTATTCTTCATTCTATTCATATGAAATATTACATTTATTGACTTGTGTATGTTGAACCATCCTTGCATCTCTAGGATAAACCCCAGTTGGTCAAGATGAATAATTTACTTGATGTGCCATTAGATTTGATTTG